CTTTATATAACTAACCTATTGTGAAGCTCTTCTTGTGACAGTTTTCAACTCCAAGCTGATCATAATTCCTGCTTTGATCCATTAATTTGCCGAATGACGTTGCTTGTGACAATAAAATGGGTTCCTTGGTGCCTCCTGACTATTGGAAAATCCGAATCAAAAGACCGAAAGGCGGATTTTTCAAATTCAAGAGGGTTCTGAATTCTGACCTTGTACCTGAGGGTTTCGGATGATCCGAGAAATTCACGCGGCGTTCGGGATTTCCTGAAGCCCGAATTCGAACGAAATGCCTGCAAATTTGTTTTCAGAAAAAAAAAATTAGGTACATGAAAAGGTGAACGAATCTCGGGGCCCCACTATTGTGTTTTAATTTATAAACTAAAACACTGCATGCAATAGTTGAAGCAGTAGATTTTGAATCAAGGGACTGTGGATTTTCATGTACTTAGTATTCTTCTCATGTTTGGTAGCATTCAATTCCATGTGGTGGACAATTGAGGTTGACAAATAACCCACATTTCCATGCAGGAGCAAAATTAACCTGCACAGTTAGGTAAGATAATTTCGCTTTAAAGACTTAAATTTTTTCATTTTAGGTATGCTTTGTTCCTGATCAAGGTCATTGAAACACAAAGGGTAGATAATATTTGTCTGTAGATCAAAAGAATAAAATTGAGAAATAAAGTACAGATTCAGCCTGGGACAAGGCTAGGGATTCTTGGTAGAATCCCTGATTGAAGATTCAAGTATTCTTTTTTCATGAAAGAAATTGTGACTCAATCTTTAATTTGTAGAATATATTCTCAACACTTCCAACTCTCAGCAAGAGCATTACCTTTTGAGTAACCATTTCCAACAATGATGGACAAATCACTGATGAGATTGTCATGTAAAAGGGTTTTTATTAATTTCTTCATTTTATCCTTGATCCAGTATTCTGATCAAGGATGGGATGAAGCAAAAGACCTGTGATTGACCAGAGAAATTCAAGTCAAAGACATCTTGGCACCAGAAGCTTTTGATATGTTATGGGAAGGAGAAAAAACATTGCCAGTCTTCACCAGACTTTGTCTTCTTATTTGGTTGTTTTCCACCAGATTTGATTTTGTACCTACTGTATTCAGTTGTGTGCCTTGATTATTTGAGGCTTGTGACAAGTCCCCAACACATTGGACCCAATTTTACTGCAGACATTTGACCAACTACTTGAAAATTAAACTTTGAACATCATTAAATGTGTAAGGAACAGATTTTGCACATATTTCCTCCTTGTGGAGTTCTATAACCAAAGAAAAAAATGCAAACCTAAAAACCTCCATATAACAAGAAATTGCACCGAATTTCCCATTATGCAATAACTTACTAGAATTGAACCTCTGTAAGTGAAATTTCTAGGGACAAGGAAATGAATTTAACTCACGGAGGTTTTGTTTTTTGGAGGTTTTCAGTTGAGGAAACAAATACTTGTTGGGAGGAGAAGTGAAAAAAGCTGGAAAATTATGAATGAGGATATTCTGGGCCTGAACTTGCACCTGAGTTGCACTTGAGTTTAAACCTTGCTGAACTTTGGGTCATTTGCTATAATTGTCTTTCACTTCCTTTCAAGATGCATCAAATTATTTGCTTTAATGATTTTCTCTTTCATATTTAGAGGAAATAGTAACCAGAAGGCCTCAGAAAATTTGACTTACAGAGGTTTTAGAGAAGAAGACTTTGAGTTAGGGAGGTTTTTAATGTATATTGATTCTAATAGGGATTTCAGCCAGGGACTTGAAAGAAATTCAACTTAGGGAGGAATTTGACTTATCAAGGTTCACCTGTATCACTAACCAGTTTTCAATCTCAACAATCACTCTCAACCTGCATCTTGCTGTAGTTGTTTTACTTGTGCAAACTGATATTTGGTTTAGCTTTGATTAATGAAAATGTTGAGTTAAATTCCTGTTTTCTTGAGCTGAGAATTTTGAATTTGTTGGCAAGGTTGGCAATGATACAAATATTTGGCAAGAATTATGCAATGATTTCATTATTAGTACCACAATGGCAACTTAAAAAAAAATACATGCCTGTGAGCTCAAAATAGTCTTCAAATCACTGTCCTGTTGGTGATGATCCCCAGCACAAGTGATACTCAAAGCAGTCCGTGTCCTCTTGAAAGGCTTTTGATTTACAAACTTTCTCTGGAAAGATTTCAAATTGAGAAAAATATCTGATTTATAAAAAAAGCACTCCATCTCCAAATGAAATTTTCTAATTACCGATTCGGAATTACTCTTCCATCCGCATTTGTCCAGCATACTACTGGCTGGCAACCCTGGTTTATTAATGGCAATATGGGGCGTCGATTTGAATATCCTTTTGGGACTGCTTGTTGATCCCGACCTCGCTGAATTAAATTGAATGAACTGCTGTGTATTTCAGAAACAAAAAATATATAATTGTTTTCTAGGTAGGAAAATGTCTTTTAGATTTAATTTAATTTTATTTGTGCTACGTAAATATAAACTTTAAAATTCAGAAACTGGGTGAGCATAATTTGAGAATTACTTGAGAGACTATTGTATAAATATATGAGGCAGCGAGCGACATCTAACTAACATTAAAACCGTTGAAGATTTAAAAACTAACATTAAAAACTTCGCTCACGAGGGTCAAACAAGGCACTCCAAGAGGATTTAGTGCGAGAAGAACCAAGTTCCGACGCTGTCACTTCAGAGGCACATTTCACTGGCCCGGGTTTTTGCGCAGATATTGTGCCAAATTCCTCCCCACTCGGCCCGACCCCGAATTTCAACCCGAGAGCATCCTTGAGCAAGTGTCGGTAGCTTTTCTTCTTGGCCATGCAAAAATTCCCAGCCAATTTCTGTTGTGCAGTTGGCAACTCTGGGATATGAGAAATTATGTCGGTTTGGTAATGGATGAAAGAAAAACAATTTGATAATTTTTTACTCACTGGATGCCCCTTTTTCAGTGAGCCAACATTTTGCCAATTTTGCAAAAGGTTTCCGTCTCCAAGGTGTCACCAGACGGTGAGGAACAAGCATTGGCAAGTCCTTTCCAGCAGTTTTCATGGATGTCAAATGCATGATTGTGAGGAATTCTTCTCTAGTGACACCCTCACTCTAAAAAAAAAGGGACAAAAAGTCGTCCATTTAAAAAAAAAATCGAATTATTGGTTACAAGGAAATCCCTTTTCAAGTTTCCTGCCCCAAAATAGTATTAGTATGTTAATCAAATTGTTTTACAAAACATTTATTGTTACAATGATGATGTTTTCCTCGTACCAACAGCTTTGCTACTGTAACAATATTTTACTGTGAAGAGAGACCCCCACATTTGGACACCTTGACCTGATGCAGACAATTTGACATAGGGACACTTATTTTCCCAAAAAAATCAATGAAAAAGGACCAACATGAGGACACTGACTTGACATATAGGGACATTTTTTTATAAAATTGCAAATACATTTCAGGCCAAATTACAAGAAACATATATTTCCAACCCTTAAATTGATGTAAGATAAGTTCTTGGGCATTTCTCTCACCAATTTACCACCCATTTAGCTAATTTTTAAAAAGTTACCTCCAGCATAGAGGGACTTCTATTTTTTTTACTTGAATGTTTTTTTTTGTAGATGCAGACATATTTCAATGTACAAAGATACACAATTCAATGCTCCAAATGTTCTTATTGAGTTGAAAATGTATTCACTGATTCAAATTAAAGTGGCAAAAAAAATTTTCAAGGAATTCTGAATATTTCTTCCATAAAACACCAATACAAATTATTTAATGTCAGTCTATGAGAAAACAAGACTTGACTTAGGGACAATTTAACTCAGGGACACTCTTGCATCTTGATGCACCAATTATGTCTGTGTCTTTGGGTCTCACTGTCTATAACAGACTATTTTCTTAAATAGAATCAATGTGCAAATCAGCATTGTGGACACCTTGCATTAAAAAAATGTTTGTGAAGCAATGCTGTTCACTTTGGAGAAAATATACATAGCTGAGCATTATAAATCAAGATTCTGTATAAAATACCGGTTTATGCCAATATTTTTCAAGTCCATGTCTGAAATCCCTTGGAAATAATGCATTAAAAAACCTCCTTGACTCATTAAAGGTTTTCATTTCCAAACTCCATAACTCAAATTTTCTTGAAGCCTTGCAACTATTAATTTACTTACAAAGGAAAGAGAAGAGCCACCAAATTTTATTTGATGCTGAAAGGAAGTGGAAGAATATATTGCCAAATGAAACCTTGCTTGAAAGTTCAGTATCCTATGAACTTATTTAAAAATCAATACACAGCAGGTGGTACCTTGCAATTCAACATCCTTCAATTTGACCATCCCAAAATTTGACCCATCAAATTGTCTGGGATGTTGACTTGCAAATTGACCTCCTACCCCACAATTCAATCAGCAGAGAGACTCAAAATGTCAAATTTCATGTAGAAAACATAGAATTTGACACTGTCTTGCAATTTGACCACTTCACAATTTGACCCATACCCAGCAATAGATTAGCGTCAAATTGAATATTCCCAATTAAATTTATTCCTAGTTTTCCTTTCCTTCTCCCTCTCAAAAAAGCTTGGTTCCCAAATTAAAAACCTCTATGGCTGAATTTTTCTGCTAATTTTTTGAAATGTAAACACAGATGTCATTAAAATTTAATTCATAAATGATCAGGATGCTATTCATTTAAATTAAATTCCAGGAATGTGATACCGGACTTCAAATGATGGCAATGATTCAAAAATAAAAACCTCACCGATTTCGAGACTGTGATGTCAACAGTGCGCTGAGCAGTTCCATTGGGGACCGGAAACGGAAGTTCGCGGTGCGTAATGAGCATGACGGAGATACGCTCTGTGTTCTGCTCTACAAGTGCTTGCTGGAAGGTCCTATCGAAAGAGCTGTGCTCATTCACAGGGATCACCTCGTCAAAATGGGCCCTTCCTTCACCCAGGCTGCCCATGGGATCGAAATCAACGAACATTTCACTGTGTTTTGTGTGGAGTTTCTCTGTGAAAAAAAATAGAAAGCACTGGAATTTCTGAAATACAAAATATTCATAAATAAACCTTTACTGCTATTTTATATTCAATGTCAGGAAATGAGTGGGTGTATGCATACATGTCAGATGTCCAGTTTTATTTTGTGGATTGTATTTTCTTTTATTTTTTAATCAATGTGCGTGCTTTGTTTCCTGCGTTGAAGTGATTAAATGTCTTTGAGGACAGTTTTATTTTGTGGATTGTATTTTCTTCTATTTTTTAATCAATCTTTGTTTCCTGCTTTGAAGTGATTAAATGTCTTTGAGGGGATTTGGGTTGGGTGGGGAGGGGAGGGGGTTTGGATGTGGATATCTTGATTGTACCTTGTGAATGCTGAAAAGTGGCAAATAAAGTGTTATGTTCATTCATTCATTAACAATATTCATGTTTTGGGGGGTGTTGCCTGCGTTCAAGACCATGCCAAATTTGACCTAGGATGGAATAACCGTTTTCAGAGCAAAAAAATAAAAAGCATTAAGGAAGGAACAGTGAGCTCCACAAAAAATATACCAGGAGAGTATTTTGAGCAGCACTGAAGTGTTGCCAAATGATGGGGATATGCAAGTAAAAATGTCTTAGAATTCTTGTAACTCTGTTGGCTTTTTTTGAAAGAAGTCTCAAAACTTATGAACAAATACTCAAACTCTGCTCAATTTTTTTTTTTACTGTGGTAGTAATCACTCTCTGAAAGACAGCAAAAGTCATCAGCATATTTCAGTTATTTTTGACTGGAATGGATAAAATTATAAAGCAGTGTTCCCCAACCTTTTGGAACCACAGACCAAAAATGTTCATGAAATTTTCTGCATACCGGTATATTTCCATAACACTTCCTTTTAGTGTTCCACACAACTTTTGCAGACTGGCAGAAAAAGTTTTGAATACCTCCCATGATGTCCTCCAAACAGAACTTTTATTTCAAGAATTTAGTTAAGAACCACTGAAGCAGCTATAGTGAAGTGTCTTAAAAATTCAGAAAGCTGGGCTTTAAAAAATGGTTTTCCAGAAGGAAAGCTGGAAATAATTTATTTCAGCTGGTGGAAATTATTCTTGAGTGTTATTATAGGGAAAAGCCAACTTGTATTTTAATCAGATAATTTCAACTGCCATTGCCTTTCCAAAATATCAGATAACAATGACACACTTCATTACAACTTCTGATGCATTTTTTATGCTGAAAATCTCCTGTGGACCAGGAAAAAACCAAGGGTTAGGAAACATGGTTTTCAAGTATTGGAAATCATGATTCACTTGATCACTATAAATATGCAAAACTAATTGTGATTTCACCCAATTCAATTTTATTCTTTTGTAGCATTAATTACTCTTTGATATGCATACGGTCAGTCAATGTAGGTGTTGCCTGTGGATAACAAATAAGACAATAAAAACTAACTATGCCTTTAATACATTTAATAAGAAATGCATGAAGTGCAGTAACCTCACATTGAGAGAAACATGAAATGCAATTTTGATTCCAGGAATATACTTGAGAAAAAATCTTCCATAAAAGTATTCCTGGTGTAGACATTTTTGTCCCAGTCAGGCATTTCCACACTTTCAGGCCCAACATATGAATGCATTTCTTTGTTGATTTTGTATCCACATGAATCTGCATAAATGCTTTTCATCAAGTCTAAGCTTCTAAACCTGCTCAAGGTCTTATGAGGCAAATAATGAATTTTAAAATGTGTGGCAAATGATATGTGACTTATCAAATTATGCAATTTTGTAAAATAGGTGATGATTGTAGCTATGCTGTACCAGCAATTCTGCTCAGCTTCTGGTAGCCCACCAGGGCAGCTTCCATCAGTGTGTCCTCAATGTGCACATTGACAGCATACTCCTTGTACATGAGGGCATCCTGCAATGCCAGCAACAACTCAGCCCCAAAATGTGGAAACTCTGGCCCCAAACTTTGCACCCAGTCCAATTGCTTGAGGGCTGAACACAGGGGCACATCCCTTTGGTGATTGACACTCTGCAGTTCCTGCTCAGCTACTGTCTGGGATGCACTTCCCAGTCCTCTATATGTGAAGAAATCAGCATATGTCTTCTGCAAAATGGTTTTCTTTACACTTTCAAATGAAAACATTTATTTGTGGCATGCATGAAGTCATGCCTTATCTCCCAAAGAATAAAAATCAGGAGCTCAGCATATAGAAGGTGAACCAGCATCAGTTACATTTTGATTCCTTGACAATAATCTCAAAAAAGGTGAATATTGTCAATCTTATAAATAGAACTATACGGTCACAGGGGCACCACATGGTAGATTCAAACTTGAGGAGGCTTTAATAAATAAAAAAAATTCAAAAAAATAGTCCTATATAATTTAAGGATGTTCTGAGCATAATTTTCATTTCCTGATTCAAGAAAAATGTGAAAGAGACAAGGAAGGGTGAGATATTGCAATTTATATTCCTAAAATTGTTGGAATTTCATTAATTTTATATTAAATATCAGTAATTCAATGTTTTAAAGATTGATAGTGATTTCACCAAATTCAATTTTATACCTTGGTATTAATGACTTTCTGAATTTCAGCAAAAGTTATCAAGATAAAGGAAGAATTTTTTGTGAGTGTCTGGGAAATATAGATGACATAATTGGAATTATAACAATGGAATTCATGATTTGGGCAATAGAAAACTTTAAAAAAATAGTTCTATTAATTGGACAAGGACCCAATGTTCTACATTCAAATTGTGCCTGTCCTCATTCCATTTTATGTACTGTGTTGTAGTCATATTATTTTGACAATGGCATGAAAAAGGCTTGTGATTTCACTCAATTATGTATGTGTCAGGGTGCACTTGAAGTGCACCTACACTTAAGATTCCATTGCTACCCAGAATACCTTCCTAATGCTATTATTTTTTATGTTGTGTGTAGAAAAAGTAAGTCACCACTAATTTGATTGGGCTGCTGCACACATTCTGTTACTTGTTGCAATTGTTGGCAGTCTTGAACACTATTGAACACTATATCAAGAAATAGTTTCAACACTATCTTTTGATAAACCAGACACTGCCATCTTTTGGTTCCTGCTTTGAAACAATCATAAACAAAGCATGCAGATCATGAGTTACCTGATCTGACACTGACTTGCAACAGAGTTTCCATAAAATCCAAGAGTACCTCTGGACTGAAAAATGATAAAAAAAAGTCCCTGTCTAGACTTTTGACCTCTTTCTGCTATCTTACTTACATTTCTGCACTTTGAAGAAATCACATGGCCAGAACCAGCCTCCAAGCCTAGCGGTATACAAACCCCTGCTCTTCCTTCCCAAAATCAGTCCACTACCAACATTCTCTGCAAGGAGTCAGAGCTTTGAATCTACATCCCCACAAATGCCTTTTTTTGTATTTTTGCATGTTGCAAATTCTCTACTAAAAAGAGCTTATTGAAAGTCTGTCCCTTTTTTGTTCCTGTTTCCCTGGGCTTTGTGAATCCTTGCTCTGAACTCAAGGGGTCAAGAACCTCAAAGAGAAATTTTGAAACACAAGTGATTGGTGTATCTACATCACAAGCTTCTCTCCTGGGTTTTGTCATGAAACCTTGTCTGCATAGGATCCCTCTGCTCTTTCTACAAATCAAATATTCTTTGAAAGATAAATAAACTAATTGAAAATATTACCTTTTGAAAAAATTTCAATGTTTCTCTAAATTGATACAGAAAAGAATTTAAACCTTTGAGAACCTCAAGATTTACCTCAAAATTGTGTTATAAAAAAATTAAAAATTGTCAATGTGAATTTGAAGCTATAGCAATTGGAAGAATAAAAATGTTTATTTTAAATTAAGATATCAGTAAATTTAGATTAAATTATAGAAAACCATTCAATTCAATTCCTGTTTATCTCATTGCAATTTTATTTAAACAAAAAAAAACACAACACCTGGATCCCACATTCATCCGTTTCCAGTTGCCAGACTGTGTGGGCATCAGCAGTTTCCTCACAGACAACTGGGCCTGTCTCAACCTAGTCTTGGCCTTTCCAGCTGACCCTGACCTCAACTCTCTCCTCTTGAGCGTCAACGTGCGAAACACAAAATTGTGGAAAGTGGCCAAAACCAGGGCCACGATCGCGCGACGCCTCGCATCGAACGCCAGGCGCGTCACCTGGAATTTACTCAGGTCGCGCAAGTCGGCCCACGCGTCATAGATGTCGCTGCGATACCACGCACACGCCGTGTCGCACTTGGCAAACAAACGCACGTAGATCCTGGGGCTTTTTATGATCATCGGCATATTGCATGATGTGTGCGGTACAGGTCGTGATGCCAAGAGGATCTTTGACAAGTTCCAGGCTGTGAAATTGTAGCGATTGAGCCAGTAGCCAATGTCAGTGCAGGGTTCTGGAGAGGTGAAGACAAAGGCCAGACGGGATTGGAAGTCGCCCAGGGCTTCAATGGCCAAGTGGAGTCTCTGGTCAATGTCTCTGGTGATGTCCAACAGCAGGTAGATTCTCTCTGACTTCAGAAAGGTAAGCAGAAAGATAATGGAATGAATGTTGTGAATGGGGTGAGAGAAAAAATAATAATGAGAGAAATTTTAGAGAAAAAAAGTTATTTCAACTGTGTGTATAAAGCTTAGTATAATATATCAAAAATGAAGAAAAAATGAATGAGAAATTGAAGAAATGACTTGTATTTCTCCTCTCTCTGTCTCACTTGATTAGTTGATTGATTGTACTGTACTGGAACCAATGGCAAAGATCAAATGGATGTTCCTCTATATGCCGAAATAATGAACAGGAAATCTGGTAACAATCCTGTTACTGAACCATGATTCATGCTATAGTATTTCCATTCACAAGATGATTATTTTTTTTTTCAAATTATTATTTAAAAAACAATTATAAGGATATGGACCTGATGATCAACCAGAAAATTCAAGGGGCTGGAAAAACGCATGGTAAATATGGAATTTCCTTGTTGGAAACCTCTATAACATGGGGAAAGAACCCAATTGGATTCCAAAAGAATTTGTTGTACAGAAAAATGTTGCATATACAGTGAGACTCCAAGATGTGGATGTAATTGGTGCATCAACAATGTCCCTATGTTGAAATGTCCCTAAGTTGAGTCTCATTTCCCCACAGACTTACGTTCTCTTATTTTTAATTGGTGTTTTATGGACAAAATACTCACCATAATCCCATAAAAATAAAAATGGTCTCCCAATTTAAACTGATTTTAATCAATATATTTCAACACAATATGGACATTTGTAGAATTGAATACTGATACCTCTGTGCAGTACATCAAAATGATGGTATTATCTTTAAAAATAACATTCAAGTGACAAAGAGAGAAGGAAGTCCCTCTCTGCTGGAGTTAATATTTTCAATTAGCTAAATGGATGGTAAATTGGTGAGAGAAATGCCCAAGGACTTTTCTTATATCAATTCTAGGGTTATAAATATCTGCTTCTTGTAATTTGGCCTGAAATGTGTTTGCAATTTTATCACAAAATGTTCCTTTGTCAAGACAGTGTTCTCATTTTGGGCCTATTTTCTTAATTTTTAGAAGGAAAATAAGTGTCCCTATGTTGCATTGTCCGCAGGTCGAGGTGTCCGCATGTGAGGGTCTCACTGTTCAAGATTTTTGTGGACAGAGTCCTCCTGTTGACTGTCTTATTGTACAGTATACAGAAATTGTAGATTGAGTCAGCATTCAAGCACTTCATTCTCAAGAGAATTGAATACAGTAGTATGCAAAAAAAATTGATGATTTCACCTTCTGAGCGAAATAACGAAGAGCCAGTTCATAGCCGTAATCCGGCGGCGGGTCTTCAGGCACGTCGGGACAACTCAACACGTGAAACTTGGCCAGGGCCGGAGTGGACGCCACGTGGCCGCAGACATGGGCGTCCAAAAACGGCGACCCAAACGTCGCCTTGATGATGTCCAGATTCAGCAGCTTGTCCCAAAGCGTGCCAACTTCTCGGCCAGTGAGCAGAGTGATGCTTGCTGATGATGGAGCAGCACCAGTTTGCGAGGAAAAGGCATTACTTTTGCTCGTCTGCTGATGATGAGGATGACGGATCATCCCAGGACAGCAAGTGCGACATCTGTCGCTCAACTGGTCAATCCGTTGCTGCGGGTACTGCTCCTCCGGCGTGGAGCATTCGCCCATGTATCCTTTCATTTCAGAGGGAATATTTTTAAACAGAGACACCAGGTATATTATGTACTGTACTGTACCTTCTCTAATACAGTGAAATCACGTTACAACAAATTTTTCAATATAACAAACTTATTTTCAAGTCCCGGCAGAAATCCTATAGGGTACATGTTATAAAAATCTAATTTCAACAAACTGCCAATTCTACTATAACAAATGTTTTTGAGGAACGTTCTATGATTTCTCAATGAAAAATCCTTAATGGACGCAGGCACAGTCTCACATTTCCCATTTCAAATATGACTGGTGACTGGTTCTTGGGACATAAGGTGGAATCAAGCACAAAAATTCTTTGGAGTTCACTTGAAAATCCTCTCTTTCAAGAATTATTCTTATGTTAAGAATGATGGTTGGAGGGGGGGGGGGGTAGATAGATGGAAAAAAATGAGCCCTGCAATACTCATGTTGAAGAGGGTTCGTATGCCTGAGAAATGCTAGTGATGTAAAAATTGTTAGCAATTTTGACACATTCACCCTTATAAATCTTTGCAGGAATTGCTTTAAAAAACTTTTGAGTGGAGAAAGTGTGCTAGTATTTTCCCGTTCTTCAGAGTATCTGTTTTTTTTTAAATTAACATTTCTTTTTGAAGATAAGTTTTTCAACCATTGAAAAAATCTGAAAAGGCACAAAATGAATATGTTGAATATATGCAGGTATAATTTGAAGAAAATCTTCCAATCAGTAAATAATTTTCAAAATCTCATAACAATTATTCATTACAACAAACTTTTTCTGAAGTCCCCACAATTTTGTAGTAATGAGATTTTACTGTACAATATTTACTCAAGGATCACATCCACATTTTCTCAAATTTGAGGAGGAAAGAGGGTGTTTGTGTCAAATGCTGCTGATATACAGTGTAAAAGTTTCAAAAAGCTTAGAAATTTATGTTGTGCACAGCAATACATCAGTACTTGATTCTCATCAGAGATTTTTGACCAAGTTTGAGAGAAAAGCTTACTTTAATGAAAACAGTTTATAATTGGTCAAATTGATGCTAATTTCATACCTAAAATGAAAATTTGGGTGTTCTCATTTTTGAAATACTGCAGTTGTATAAAGTCACTAAATTGGAGTACAGTACACATCTTACTGAGGGATAAGATTTATTCAAACTTCCCAACTAAAAACCCCGGTGCACTTCATTGAGGGTGCATGGTACTCAAGTGAATGTACAGTAATTGACTGATATCCAACATAAGAGGCCTGTCTTAAGTAAAACCCAGGACTAAGAAAAGTCTTGAAGAAAATAATACCTGTTGTCTCTGATATTACGCACATCAAGGAGGAGGGGGAGGAGGAAACTAATTCTGATATTTCTTCTAATCCATGACATTCATGCATTAAAAGCTAAAGAAAGTAAGAGCACATGTTTCAAAAGACAGTTGCATTCCGCTTATACCAGTAAGATATAGGTCATTGAAGTGCCCTTGGGTAGCAATAAAGGTCTAAGTTTTGAGAAATCCAGGTAAAGAATATGTCATTGTCTGGACTCTGGAGAATTCTCCAACATGTCCAATCTATGCTGGGAATGCAAAAAAAGTGCCACCCATCAGTTAGGAATATTTTCATGCAACATTTTTAAGGGATAAAAATGTTACTTTTGAATTGAACAGCAAGCTTTATTTCCTGCTTTTCAGCATTCATGATGTTCAAGCAATGTCCCCACATACAAAAATATAAGTTTGGTATATATATAACATATATAACAGACTTATGCATTGTTATCCAGGAAATACTCGGGTTTGTTTCCAAGACCTCTTTTTAAATTGCACCTTACTTCGAGGAAGCAAACAAGGT